TGCTGAAGGGCCCTGATGTAGGAAGGCAGGTGCCCAGAGAGCAGAGCCCAGGTTTACCAGGCAGAAGGAAATCATACACCTGCTTCACCGGAAAGTCTGGTGTCAAGTTTCTAAGGGTGAACGTCCGAGCACCTTGCACCCGGTTAGGGATCCAGCAGCACAGGCCTTAGTTCCCTACCTTCTGTGTGATGTCACCAATAAATTCAGAGCCTGGTGTTGGTGGCAGGTAGAATTTCATTTCTTCCTGTTTCTCGTCCTGTTCTTTTTTGATGTTTATCTTTAACGGCTCTGAGAGGTTGAGGATGTCCACCTCCTCCTCATTCTCCGGCTCTCTTTTCTGAAACTGCTGCAGGTCCTCCAGTTTCCGGCAGAGGTTGTCAGCAGAGGAGAATGATGACGGGCACTCTAAATGAGAGGTAATCAGTCTTATGACAGCTGTGGTGACAAAAGAAAGGGACTTTCCATATCCAAGGGACCAATAGCCTGAGACCCAGAGAAGAAGGGTAAGTATCAAGGGAGCTGACCTTCCTTCTGGTTCTAAAATTCTATGAATCTAATTATTATGAGAACTAGTAATTCATAAGGGAGACAAGCACCAAGACAGGCATCTTGTGTTAAAACATATGTACTGTTAAGGACAATCTTAAGTCAAAACAGCACATAATTCATACTTATGCCACCCAAAACGAGGCCATCCTCCCACTCCACTAATTTGTTTTCAAATTTTAAATCTGGAGAATTTAGAAATGCACAATGAAGAAATTAAAAATCATCCACGCTCTGCTTAGAGATAAGTACTACTAAAATTTTAGTGTATACCATGCATCCAGTCTTTAATAAGTTGATTTATACAAAGCCCAACAAAGAGTATTAGAAGTTTAAAGCCAGCAGAGCCTCTGGGAATCTTCTAGTGCATCCCTTTCACTTTATAGATAAATAAGTGAGGTCCAGACTGGGACAAGATGGAGTTAAGGGCAGCCAGCTCCTGGCTTTCTCTGTTTTATTGGCAGGATGCTCACAGATCAGTCAGTCATATTAACAGAAAGCCTAGTACAGGTAAAGCATGGTGCTTTACATACACTACCGGTGAAGCACAGAAGTAATCGACATGGTCTCTGCTCTCCAAAGAGCTTAGATATAAATCTGACAAACCCTCAAGGTTCTGATATTAAATACCACTGGAGATCAGAGAAAGGAGAGGCCACCCTGTGTTAGGGCTCTGGGGAAAGCTTCATGGAGAAAATGGGACTTGTGCTAAGTCTTAAAGGAACCCCCCCAGACCCTCCCTGTGCTCCAGGTTCCCTCAGACAGGGAGGTGGAGCATCTGTTTTTCTACAGAAATGGGGCTGAGAGGAGAAAACACTCCTTATTCATTAAGGTGAAACTCAAAATATTTTCCCCATATGTCTTTTATACCCAGCTCCCCTGCACCCCTGCCCACATATAGCTCAGTGATTTGTGTCTTTATCATAAAATTCATTTTATCTGCAACATTATTAGTTGTTTAAACCTGTGCCTCCAGCACTCGGCAGTGCACTTCCAGGCTAGGTTTTCGAGATAAAGTAACAGATAAGACATCGTCCCCATCTTCAGGGAGAAGACTTGTCTGTGTGAGGGTGGCTATAAGGTCACAAAGGAAGAAGTCACTTCTACCACAAGGAAAGGAGTTAGATCAAGAAGGTCTTCAAAGGAGAAATGATGCTGAGGAAGGGGGCTCCTGAATGAACAGTGTGTTCCTGTTGCATGTCATGGGCCAGAACATTCCTGGCTTGGGCATAACACTTGGGACACTTGGGCACAAATAGTTCTGTAGGGACCATCCTGGGGGGTGGGCGGGACACCCAGGGTGGGCTCCTGTTCCCTAAGGCAGCTCTTGGAGTCCTCAGGTCCCTTCACCTCAGCTGAAGGAAAGAGCATGGAAAACTGCTGGGGCTGACGTGGCCCGAAAACCATGGAGGCTGACAGGTGACTGTGTGCTCCAAGGAAACACCTCTCGGCTGCTGATGGTGCCAGAGTCCCACCAGTGCTTACCTGGCTCGCTGTCAATCTGGGTCAGCACATCCTCAATCGAGTCCCCGTCGCTCCTCAGGCTTTCGGGGTCAGGTGGGGTGTAGCCATGGCAGCGACACCAGTGAGCAATGTGCTTGGTTTTAAGCGGAGTCAGGTGATGAAATCTTGGATTCTTTTCCAGTATTTCTTGTAAGACTTTTCGCATTGTCATCGCTCTTTGCCACTTAAAAAAATTGAGGGGGGAGGGGGGAGGGGGAGAATTCTTCAACTTAGCGTGTTCAAATAAATCACCCAACTCTAAAGTACCATGCTGACTTGTTAGAATCATTTTTTTCTAAGGAAAAAAAAAATCTGATGGTGTTACTCCTCAGTTTTTAAAAAAAGTAAAAACTCTTACCTAATGCTTATAAAATAAAACTGAAATTCCTAGGTTTGGCCTATAAGGTGTTTCACCTGGTCTTAACCTGTGATCTCCCACTTCCCCAGCCTTCCCAGCCTTCCCCAAACTCATCACACTGACTTTCTCAAAGCTTCCTAAACATGCCTCTGTACCTGCTACTTCCCTCTTATAACCTTACTGTCTGGCATAGTTGCTACCACACTGAGTAATAAATACTTAAGTTTAATATAATTCTTTAAAATTTTTTAGAAATTTTTACCAATGCAGGAAAAAGTAGATCTTTCAAAGGCTAGCTACATGTCTTTGGAGAATGAGATTTTTAACTAAGGAAAAAGTTCTACCATCAAATATTTAACGAGGGACTTCCCTGGTGGTCCAGTGGTAAAGCAATCTGCCTTCCAATGCAGGGGACGCAAGTTCGATCCCTGGTAGGGGAGCTAAGATCCCACATGCCACGGGGCAACTAAGCCCTCATGCCGCAACTACTGAGCTCGAGCACCACAAACTACAGAGCCTGCGCGCCACAACTAGAGAGAGAAAACCCGCATGCCACAACTAGAGAGAAGCCTGGCGCCACAACTAGAGAGAAGCCTGGCGCCGCAACGAAGACCCGGCACAGCCAAAAAATAAAGTTAAAAAAAAAAAATTTAACGAAACATGCTGCAAAATTTATCATTGCTCCATGTGACGAGGTTTATGGAAGCAGCCAGAATGCACATGTATTTTGGTTATTTTCTCTAATAGGCTCTCAGTGGTGGCCTGCAGCAAACATGGGATTACCTCAGCAGCTCTCCTTTTCCCAATGTTCCAGCCATAATACTGCTCCACAGATTTTGCAGAAAAACAGCTGGCATCTTCACCTAGAATGCACATATCCAGCAAACTCTGAATAAAGTTATGATTTAAGTAAACTCTTATTTGCTGGAAGCATGTCCAAAAGTTTCTTTAGACCTCTTTATTGGCTATGTTCCTTAACAGGCAAGTTCAGATGCAACATAACACACTCATTCGTGTGTTCTCAAAACAACAGCCCTCCCTGGGAAATCAGCTTCTTTGGTAGAGAAAGTATCATGGCAGTAGACTACCTATTAAGTGGAAATGGCACTCCACTGGGAACAGGAGACCTGAGATCTAGCCTTGGCCTTGCCATTCACTAAGCTGCCTTGGGCAACCTATATCATCTCTCTGGGCTTCGGTTTTCTTAACTGTAAAATGAGACCACTGGGAAAGATGGTTCCAGAACTGCCTTTCAGCTCTAATATTCTGTATTTGTATCTGAATTTTTAAAAAAAGATTAAAAATTTTTTTTCCTGCTGGGCTAGAAAAATCACTGAGTTTACTCTGAGCTACCTCGAAATGACCCCTTTGAGGGGAAAAAAAGAAATACTTTGCTATTACAGCTAGAAAAAATAAGCAAAGTAGTCTGTACTTGGCCTATTGTTTTCATATTCCCATGAATGTGAAATGATAATCTGCTTCATCCCTTCCCTCTAAATGTTCACGGGTGATCTTGCCCAAGAGCCGAAGCCTAAGTATCCACAGGCTGTCGGTCATGCCCTTGGTAAGGGCTGTTGATTCTGTCAGAGCAATTGGGGCTGAGAAGCAAACTGTTCAGTCTTGCTGACAATGGGCAGGGATAGAGGAGACATCACTGCAGGAGGTCTTGACAGTCGTTTATTTCTACAGAGTGAGTGTTAGATGAAAGATAAGAAAATTCCTTCTGCAGATCAAACCGTGAAAATAGTAAGACTAACTGACCAAGATATTGTGAATTCTAAAAACCCTGCAAATGAGCTACAGCTGTAGCTAAAACCCTCTATGATAACTACCATGTCAGTATTAATTACAACACCAAGTGATTCAAGTTGACTTAATATCCCAAGTACTTCACAGCTTTAAAAAAAATGCATCCATATATTCAGTATTGTCTTACTTTTTGCAGTGATTAAAGGGATCTTCTTTACTACTGCTGTTAAGAGTTGCTGGATAGTCTCTAAATGGTCTATCCTGAGAAGGACAAAGAAAAGAAAATTATGGTAGGGAATACACAGAGCAGTTTCTAAGAGAGAGAGAGAGAGAGTGTGTGTGTGTGTGTGTGCATACAACACACATGAATTTATGTATATATTTCTCCTTTCCAAGGGAATTAAAATTTAAACCAACTATATTGGTATGTCCTTCCTTTTCTATGCATAGCCTTCTTTATAAATGAAGAGCATTCAATGCTTAAAAAGTCAACACTAAGATGAAACCCCAAGAATGACCAATTATGCAAACCTGACATTTCATTTTATCTATATTTTAAAATTAAATAGCCACGTAATCTTTTTGCAATGTGACTGTCACTAGAGTAGGGAATTCTATCATACGATGCCTATCTTAGGGTTATTACAGTTCATGCTGTCACCTGTCATGTGAAAGTGGCTAAGCTTCTACCATTCCCAGCAGTTTGAAATACTTCAAAATATGCAGTCAGAGGTGGGTTCCCAATTCGGAAATTAGAAAATCTCTGGGAGTATTTTTAGAAGAAGCACTGATGGGCTTCCCTGGTGGCGCAGTGGTTGAGAGTCCGCCTGCCGATGCAGGGGTCACAGGTTCGTGCCCCGGTCTGGGAAGATCCCACATGCCGCGGAGCGGCTGGGCCTGTGAGCCACGGCCGCTGAGCCTGCGCTCCACAACGGGAGAGGCCACACAGTGAGAGGCCCGCGTACCGCAAAAAAAACAAAAACAAAAAAACGAAGCACTGAGTCTGTATGGGCCATGAAAAGGCAGCTGTTTAAGATTAGGCAGGTGTGTGGATACTCTGACACAAAATGTATACACACCTGAGTAATTACATCATGAAAAATTTCATACCCAAAGATTCAGCAAAGAAACTTCGTGTTGGTAAGCTCAAATGGAGGGAGATCTGTAATTACAGCGGAGGCTTTTGAGGCAACAAATCAAGTGCTGCTCGGAGGTCACGTCAAGGGGTTAAATGAAGACTCCTGAGCTGTGCAGCAAATGGTAATACTTGTTCACCACACACGGACAGAAGGTTTCCACCCATCAAAGGGCTTAACTCATACACACAACTCTACACATATGCAGCTGTCTCAGGGATGGTTTCGTAAAAGTACCATAAACACACCGAAAGCACAACTCCCTTAGAGAGGACTGAAATAATTACTTAATGACATAGTTTCCCAGCTCAGAACTTTCTTCTGTTTTCACTGCTGTGTGACCATCCTGAGAGGGGCAGCTTGGCACAGGTGTTTCTGGTTCAGTCTTCACTACAAGGGAAGAGCAACAATGAGAGAGCTGTTAGGGTTCAATGACGGAAGGACACGTGCGGGCAGAAACAAAAGCTCTTCCATGGAAACTCAGTGAGGACACTGCCACAGCAGCTGCTGCAGAGAGACATGGCCAGGGCGCTGAGACGGCGCCTATCATCACAGGATCAGCAGACAAGGGGAGAACTGTTAGCCTGGGTCTCATGACAAGGTGGGGCAATAAAGTGGCTTTTTAGATATTTCTTAGAGGGCTAACCACAGTGCTATGTGAGATCTCTCTCACACACACACACTTGAACAATGCCACATTAAAATACAATGCTGGCCTGTTCTAAGTTCTAATATCCTTTTGCTTATCATCTCTCCAGCTAAGTTTATCAACTTTTAGCATTATCTTAGTGTTCTAAGACACAGGGCAAAAAGCAAAAATCAGATATGTTGTGCTTGGAAAAATCCAAGCTAATCACATGCAGCTTTTTAATATCACCAAATCTACTGATGGGAGAGAGCAATGTCTCAGGAGCATTGTCTTCCTTTACTTTCACAGTCTTCTTTGATCAAAATACTGTGAATACACACTCGCTGCTTCTGTATCAGCGTCCCTGCCTTCAGTCTCTTCCCTAACAACCCATTTTGTACATGAGCACTAGAAAAATTTCCTAAAGGACCGTGTTAGTGTCATTTTCCTACTCAACATCCTTCAATAGTTTCATAAAAGCAAGGGTCTACAAATGAGATCTACTAGTGCATCTTTCCTTTTTTGATGCATAACTTGCATAAAATGCACAAATATTAAGGGTACAGTTTGATAAATTTTACCTACGCATTCATCCATGTACCCATCACTCCAATCAAAATAGAGTATTTCCAGTCCTCAACCTGGCTCCCTTACGCTTTTGGCATTCTTTCCTGCCAAAGATAACCACCTTTTGTCCACTTTAAATTTCATCTAACTGGAATCATACTGTGCTACCCTTTTGTGTCAGCATCTTTTTAGCTATTAAAAATAACAATGTAATGGACATGCTTGTATATGTCTTTGGGTGGACATACACATGCGTTTCCTAGCAGTGTATCTGCTGATAGGGCAGATATATGCGTTTCCTAGAAGTGTATCTGACGATAGGGCAGATATATGTTTAACTTTATTAGAAACTGCCAAACTGATTTCCAAAGTAATTATATCCATTTGTAGTCCCATGAGCAGTGTATGTGAGTTCCAGTTGCTTCACATCTTTGCCAACACTTAGTAATGTCAGTTCTGTTCATTTTGGTGATAGAATAGTATCTCACTATGGTTTTAACTTGCATTCCCTTGATGACTGATGAGGTTGAACAACTTTTCATTTCCTTATGAGATATTTCAATATCCTCTTCTGTGAAGTACCTGTTTACATATCTTGCTCTTTAAAAAAAGTCAGTGTCAGTCTTTTTCATATTGATTTTTAGGTCTGTGTATATTCTGAACAGAACTCCTTTGTCAAATATATCAATTGCAAATTATCTACCAGGATGTGGCTTGACTTTCACTCTTAATTTTGTCCCTCTAATAAAATGAGGTCCCTAATGTTAATAAAGTCTAATTTATCAATCTTTTCTTTTATGGCTAGCTTTCTTGTGTGCTCTTTGCCCAAGGTCATGAAGATATTCTCATATTCTTTTAGAAGCTTTATTGTTTTACCTTCACATTTAGTCTATGATGCAATTCAAATTAATTTCTGTTTATAGTGTAAGGCAGGGGCCAAGTTTTGTTGTTTCCCCCAAATGGATATATCCAATTAACTCAGCTCTATTTATTGAAAAGAACATCCTTTCCCT